GATGGTGACGATGATGGTGACGATGATGGTGACGATGGCGTGTACCTGCGTGGTGATGGCGCGCACGCAGGCGAGCGGCAGGCCGTGGTAGTGCGAGCGAGCGATCCAGCGCAGCAGGTGGGCGCCCAGCAGCTCCATCACCACGCACACGTCTAGCGCAGCGCAGCGCGCTCGTCAAGGTCACAGCGACAACCCCGTGTCTCACCCCCCGTGTGTCTCACCCCCCGTGTCTCCATCCCGTGTCTCACCCCCCGTGTCTCACCCCGTGTCTCCCCCATGTCTCCATCCCGTGCCTCACCCCGTGTCTCCCCCACCCCCCGTGCCCCCCCCCCCCATCCCGTATCTACCCCCGTGTTTCCCCGTGTCTCCCCCCTGTCTCCCTGTCTACCTGTGTCTCTCTGTCTACCGTGTCTCTCTGTCTGCCCGCATCTCCCCATGTGTCTCATTGTCTCCGACACGTGTCTCCGCGTCTCTCCATCGCCAAGCACACGGCGACTCCCCGCATATCTCCGTGTCCCCGTGTGTGAGCCCGTGTCTCCCCGTGTGTCTCCCAGTGTCTCCCCGTGTGTGAGCCCGTGTCTCCCCATGTCTCACCTCGTGTCTCACCCCCCGTGTCTCACCCCGTGTCTCACCCCGTGTCTCAACCCGTGTCTCACCCCGTGTCTCACTCCGTGTCTCACCCCGTGTCTCACCCCGTGTCTCACCGTGTCTCCCCGTGTGTCTCCCCGTGTGTCTCCCCGTGTGTGAGCCCGTGTCTCCCCGTGTCTCTCCCCGTGTCTCTCCCCGTGTCTCACCCCGTGTCTCACTCCGTGTCACCCCGTGTCTCACCCCGTGTCTCCCCGTGTCTCCATGTTCCCACGTCACCACGTGTACTCGTGCCCCTATGACCCCGTGTCCCCACGTCTCCCCGTGACGCCGTGCACCCCGGACCCAGTGTACCCGTGTCTCCGTGTCCCCACGTCCCCTTATCTCCCCGTGTCCCCATGACCCCGTGACCCCGTGTCTCCCTATGAGTCCGTGACCCATGTCCCATGTCTCCCTGTGACCCCCCGTGACCCCGAGGATACGCGTGCCGTTGACCCCGTGACCCGATGTCTCCCTGTGACCCCGTCCCCGTGACCCCGTGTCCCCATGTCTCCCTGTGACCCCCCGTGACTCCGTGACCCCGAGGATACGTGTGCCGTTGACCCCGGTGACCGGAACTCGTCCCGGAGCGCGACCACGCGGCTCCTCCTGGCGTCCGTGGGGTCAGCGTCACGCACCTGGGTCACCCAGCCACACCGGCCAATCACCAACGAGCTCACTACCACCCAGACAACCAATCACATCACTACCACCCACACAACCAATCACATCACTACCACCCAAACAACCAATCACATCACTACCACCCAGACAACCAATCACATCACTACCACCCAGACAACCAATCACATCACTACCACCCAGACAACCAATCACATCACTACCACCCAGACAACCAATCACTTCACTACCACCCACCCACAACCAATCACTTCACTACCACCCAGACAGCCAATCACATCACTACCACCCAGACAACCAATCACTTCACTACCACTCACACAACCAATCACATCACTACCACCCACACAACCAATCACTTCACTACCACTCACACAACCAATCACATCACTACCACTCACACAACCAATCACATCACTACCACCCACACAACCAATCACATCACTACCACCCAGACAACCAATCACATCACTACCACCCACACAACCAATCACATCACTACCACCCACACAACCAATCACATCACTACCACCCAGACAACCAATCACATCACTACCACCCAGACAACCAATCACATCACTACCACCCAGACAACCAATCACATCACTACCACCCAGACAACCAATCACATCACTACCACCCACACAACCAATCACATCACTACCACCCAGACAACCAATCACATCACTACCACCCAGACAACCAATCACATCACTACCACCCACACAACCAATCACATCACTACCACCCAGACAACCAATCACATCACTACCACCCACACAACCAATCACTTCACTACCACTCACACAACCAATCACATCACTACCACCCAGACAACCAATCACTTCACTACCACCCACACAACCAATCACTTCACTACCACCCAGACAGCCAATCACATCACTACCACCCAGACAACCAATCACTTCACTACCACCCACACAACCAATCACTTCACTACCACCCAGACAGCCAATCACATCACTACCACCCAGACAACCAATCACTTCACTACCACTCACACAACCAATCACATCACTACCACCCACACAACCAATCACTTCACTACCACCCAGACAACCAATCACTTCACTCACTCACACAACCAATCACATCACTACCACCCACACAAACAATCACATCACTACCACCCAGACAACCAATCACATCACTACCACCCAGACAACCAATCACATCACTACCACCCAGACAACCAATCACATCACTACCACCCAGACAACCAATCACATCACTACCACCCACACAACCAATCACATCACTACCACCCACACAACCAATCACATCACTACCACCCAACAACCAATCACATCACTACCACCCACAAACCAATCACATCACTACCACCCAGACAACCAATCACATCACTACCACCCAGACAACCAATCACATCACTACCACCCAGACAACCAATCACATCACTACCACCCAGACAACCAATCACATCACTACCACCCCACAACCAATCACTTCACTACCACCCACACAACCAATCACATCACTACCACCCAGACAGCCAATCACTTCACTACCACCCAGACAACCAATCACTTCACTACCACCCAGACAGCCAATCATATCACTACCACCCAGACAACCAATCACATCACTACCACCCACACAACCAATCACATCACTACCACCCAGACAACCAATCACATCACTACCACCCACACAACCAATCACTTCACTACCACCCACACAACCAATCACTTCACTACCACCCACACAACCAATCACATCACTACCACCCACACAACCAATCACATCACTACCACCCACACAACCAATCACTTCACTACCACCCAGACAACCAATCACATCACTACCACCCAGACAACCAATCACATCACTACCACCCACACAACCAATCACATCACTACCACCCAGACCAATCACTTCACTACCACCCAGACAACCAATCACATCACTACCACCCAGACAACCAATCACATCACTACCACCCAGACAACCAATCACATCACTACCACCCAGACAACCAATCACTTCACTACCACCCAGACAACCAATCACATCACTACCACCCAGACAACCAATCACATCACTACCACCCAGACAACCAATCACATCACTACCACCCAGACAACCAATCACATCACTACCACCCACACAACCAATCACTTCACTACCACCCAGACAACCAATCACATCACTACCACCCAGACAACCAATCACATCACTACCACCCACACAACCAATCACATCACTACCACCCAGACAACCAATCACATCACTACCACCCACACAACCAATAACTTCACTACCACCCAGACAACCAATCACATCACTACCACCCAGACAACCAATCACATCACTACCACCCAGACAACCAATCACACTACCACCCAGACAACCAATCACATCACTACCACCCAGACAACCAATCACATCACTACCACCCAGACCACCAATCACATCACTACCACCCACACAACCAATCACTTCACTACCACCCAGCAACCAATCACATCACTACCACCCAGACAGCCAATCACATCACTACCACCCACACAACCAATCACATCACTACCACCCAGACAACCAATCACATCACTACCACCCAGACAACCAATCACATCACTACCACCCAGACCACCAATCACATCACTACCACCCACACAACCAATCACTTCACTACCACCCAGACAGCCAATCACATCACTACCACCCAGACAACCAATCACTTCACTACCACCCACACAACCAATCACTTCACTACCACCCAGACAGCCAATCACATCACTACCACCCAGACAACCAATCACTTCACTACCACTCACACAACCAATCACATCACTACCACCCACACAACCAATCACTTCACTACCACCCAGACAACCAATCACTTCACTACCACTCACACAACCAATCACAATACCACCCACACAACCAATCACATCACTACCACCCAGACAACCAATCACATCACTACCACCCAGACAACCAATCACATCACTACCACCCAGACAACCAATCACATCACTACCACCCAGACAACCAATCACATCACTACCACCCAGACAACCAATCACATCACTACCACCCAGACAAACCAATCACATCACTACCACCCAGACAACCAATCACATCACTACCACCCAGACAACCAATCACATCACTACCACCCAGACAACCAATCACATCACTACCACCCACACAACCAATCACTTCACTACCACCCACACAACCAATCACATCACTACCACCCAGACAGCCAATCACTTCACTACCACCCAGACAACCAATCACTTCACTACCACCCAGACAGCCAATCATATCACTACCACCCAGACAACCAATCACATCACTACCACCCACACAACCAATCACATCACTACCACCCAGACAACCAATCACATCACTACCACCCACACAACCAATCACTTCACTACCACCCACACAACCAATCACTTCACTACCACACACACAACCAATCACATCACTACCAACACAACCAATCACATCACTACCACCCACACAACCAATCACTTCACTACCACCCAGACAACCAATCACATCACTACCACCCAGACAACCAATCACATCACTACCACCCACACAACCAATCACATCACTACCACCCAGACAACCAATCACTTCACTACCACCCAGACAACCAATCACTTCACTACCACTCACACAACCAATCACATCACTACCACCCACACAACCAATCACATCACTACCACCCAGACAACCAATCACATCACTACCACCCAGACAACCAATCACATCACTACCACCCAGACAACCAATCACATCACTACCACCCAGACACCAATCAATCACTACCACCCAGACAACCAATCACATCACTACCACCCAGACAACCAATCACACACTACCACCCAGACAACCAATCACATCACTACCACCCAGACAACCAATCACATCACTACCACCCACACAACCAATCACTTCACTACCACCCACACAACCAATCACATCACTACCACCCAGACAGCCAATCACTTCACTACCACCCAGACAACCAATCACTTCACTACCACCCAGACAGCCAATCATATCACTACCACCCAGACAACCAATCACATCACTACCACCCACACAACCAATCACATCACTACCACCCAGACAACCAATCACATCACTACCACCCACACAACCAATCACTTCACTACCACCCACACAACCAATCACTTCACTACCACCCACACAACCAATCACATCACTACACCCACACAACCAATCACACACTACCACCCACACAACCAATCACTTCACTACCACTCAGACAACCAATCACATCACTACCACCCAGACAACCAATCACATCACTACCACCCACACAACCAATCACATCACTACCACCCAGACAACCAATCACATCACTACCACCCAGACAACCAATCACTTCACTACCACCCACACAACCAATCACAACTACCACCCAGACAGCCAATCACTTCACTACCACCCAGACAACCAATCACTTCACTACCACCCAGACAGCCAATCATATCACTACCACCCAGACAACCAATCACTCACTACCACCCACACAACCAATCACATCACTACCACCCAGACAACCAATCACATCACTACCACCCACACAACCAATCACTTCACTACCACCCACACAACCAATCACTTCACTACCACCCACACAACCAATCACATCACTACCACCCACACAACCAATCACATCACTACCACCCACACAACCAATCACTTCACTACCACCCAGACAACCAATCACATCACTACCACCCAGACAACCAATCACATCACTACCACCCACACAACCAATCACATCACTACCACCCAGACAACCAATCACTTCACTACCACCCAGACAACCAATCACATCACTACCACCCAGACAACCAATCACATCACTACCACCAGACAACCAATCACATCACTACCACCCAGACAACCAATCACTTCACTACCACCCAGACAACCAATCACATCACTACCACCCAGACAA